TCACTGAGTTCATAGTGCAGCAGTACGCATGAGTAATAAGTGATGCAGAGAAATGTGTCCACAATTTTATGTAATTTTGCTTGTTTTTGGAATGGACTATATATATATATATATATATATATGTATGTATTCATTGCACCTCATTTTGTAAAAATTAATTATGCTTTATTATGTAGTTTTTACTTAGTCCATTTGAAAGTTTTTGTACTTGGCTTGATATAGAGTGTCTATTAATGGGCATTAATACTTGGATTTTCTTTGGCATGCTAATGACTTCAGGTTGTACATGAGCATGTTTGTCTGATGTTGATGATATTATAACCTGTTTCTATGACCTGTGTAGATTTGTTCCAGTAATTATTTGTTTTTAAGCTTGGCATTCCCATAAACTTATATTTGATTTAAGATACAATTTTAGAGTTATGACAATTTTAGAGTCATGTTCAGTATGCACATGATAACTGCACGGCAGCGAAAAACACCCAACAGCACATGATCTGAATTATACAATGATGCCGATATTCATTTCGTCATCAACACAAAAGTGAGTATTTCAATGTGATTTAGCAGAAATTATAATTGAAACATTTTGAAGTTAGAGGTTTTGTTTTCTCATGTCTAGCCATTTTGTTGACCAGTCTAGAGACAATAAGAGTGTCCTTAATTGAGAGTCCGACCTCAAGTTCTGCTGGTTTGATTCCAAACTGGAGATAAATTATCCATTACTGTATCAGAACAAATGCACCTGCTGTATTCTAGTAATTTCTAGTCTCCCTCAATTTCACACTTGGCTACTTCACAACTTTTTCATTGAGGATCTAGTTATAAAAAATGTCTGATAATGACAATGTATCTTTTCCAAAATATGGAGAAACAATTTCATTTGTTGATAAGATGAGGTGATGTCTAATATAATTGTGATCATAAATTGATTTTATACAAATATTTCATTGGCTGATTGAGATGCACCATTTGAATGGTGTTAAATTACATCCTTAACAAGTTTTTAATTTTATTTTGGTTTGAACTGTTGCAGAAAATGCCTTGAAAAGATTTGAAATCCTGAGAAATGTCATTGTAGTTGAACAAAGTTTTATCAAAGTGCTTTCTATGGGGAAAACAGTTCAATGAAATATTTTACCAGCCTTTATATTGAGAAGCCACATAAGTCTTCTTGAAAGAAACGAAGATGAAATTCAATGCATTGTTTTGTATTAGCGTTCTTCAAGTCTTTCAGTCTAACTAAAATTTGTATATTGCAAGAATTTTAGCGTTGATGCACTTTCATTCCTTCACACGACTCTTACATTAGTTAGAGCATATGTTAAATTTAAATTTATTTGTATGAAATGTTTTACTTTTTATAAAAAATATAATTAAATTCATTCCATATTAGAATTTTAAAGAAAGTGGCCATAGATGGGTTTCTTTACATCACAGACATGTAATACTCAAATATTTTCATGTTTAGGGCAGCTTGAATATCAAGTTAAGAATATAATATCTTCTGTGAATATTATATTTGAATGTTCAGCATTTACAGTAGTTCATTCCACATGACACTTTGAAGAATAAATCCAAATGTAATACACGTTTTTGTCTACATATACTTTTTTGTTACAATTGAGGCCAAATCTAAATTTATATTTGAATAAATTTGAGTTGGTACTTTTTACTGCTCTTTCATAATGATTTTCTTTTATTTAAAACAGATGTTTGTTTTTCTTTAAATACTTTCATTTCTCCACAACATCACCATCAACATGTTGGAAAATGATGCGTTTCAGATCTTTTGATTTGTTGTAGAGAGATTTATAGAAGTGGAACATGTAGTCACACTATATTTTAGAATTGCTCCTTTAAATACATAAGAGATCAGTGGAAAATACATTCACATAGCTAACTGTAGATGTGGTTTTGCTATCAGGATATTTTTGAGATGCACAATCTGGTTAAATTCATTGCTGGAGGATATGACGACTATTTCAGTGTTGAGTATTCAACAGATATTGGAAACTACTCCCTCATAACTGAGCCATCTGAGCTCTCCTGATGTCAACCTTCCATGTCATCTGAACCACTTTTTGACAGGACAGGCTTGTTGTGCAGTCAACCTTGTCTGATGTGACCAGGACACTTACTCTTCCTGTTTCTGTAGAGCTATACAAGGACCATGTCACAAAGTGTGAATAATTGTCCACTGACAAAGTTTCCCAGTGGACTGCAGGCTCTATACATTGCTGATGACTACATTAAATGGCTATACACAATAATAATAATAATAATGATGATAATAATAATAATAATGATAATAATAATGATAATAATAATAATAATGATAATAATAATAATAATGATAATAATAATAATTAAGATCATTTTGAGGAGAACTTGGGTTACTTTGGCATATATTGTATTTCTTGCATGATGCCCACATAAAACATTTTGTATAAAATTAGTGTGGTCTTGTCTGACATTAGACAATATCTTGGGCAGTTCAGATTATACAAGTCTTTTATTTATTTTATCCATATACAAGTGTTTGATAGGTTTATTATTGGGCAAATTTGTGGTAGCCATTTCTATTAAGTAGCCCAGTTTTTGACTGCCATTTGTGTAGTAGATGATAATTGTTGTACTAGAATTGGCATAAGCGTCAGTAGCCACATGTAAAAAAGCAAATTTGTATTGCCTCAGTATCTCAATAATCATGACATTCTCGCTATCACTCCTTCACCTGAATGGATGATCATATCAACATCGGGTTTTCAGCAAAAGACTTCTCATGATGTCAGTTCAGACCTCAATAAAAATAATGTCAATTACTTTAAGGTGCCTCGCTACTGTACCATTTACTTTGATTTGACAATTATTTCTTTTTTTCAACTTTTAAATATCTTTTATGACTTGCCACAGTTTTTGATAGGTCATGATTACTTTAGATGGTTAGAGCATTGTCTTTAGAAGTGGGAGGTTGTGGGTTTGAATCCTGGCCAAGTCATACCAGACTTATAAAATTAGTACTAGCAGCTGCCTTGCTTGGCACTCAGTATTAAAAGGTTAGTGTTAGGACTGGTCAGGCCTGGTGTTAGGATATTATGACTGGGTGGGACATCATGCTACATGGCTGTCATGATGCCCCAGTGCTAGACATTACTACAAATTGCCACACTGCAGACATTGTGGCAGTATGATTGTTTTATTTGCTTCTCCAGGTACCATGTATATCTAAATGGAAAAACTGTATTGCAGCTTTTTTTATTGTTGAGTTGTTGATAACATTGTATTAATTTATTCTACCTGTACCATTTGATTTCATATGTTTAGTACATTATGCATTTGGTGGTTAGGGAGGGGTATGATTATTAAAGCAGTTTCAAATAACCAGGGCTTTAAAAATTGAGAAGTGTGGTAGTAAGTCAAAAAGTTTGTGGGATTGACATTGAGTCAGGATGCAGAAAGTCTTTCACCAATCAGTTATATTTGAAATTAGCTGAATGGTTCCTTGATGTCACATATATATAATAAGAAAATATATGCTATAGATTTATTACATTGTACTAATGATATATCAGTCCATAGAAAGTGAAGTGTTACTTGCATACTGGAACATCAGGAAAGTAAGTGATTAGGTGTATTGGAGGTTCAGCAAGGATAGATGGACATCAGGAATTAAGCAAACTCAAACAGTAGTCACCTTAGTATTACAGTCAAATTTTTTTCACGACATGTATAATTATGCTCTATATAACGAACACTTTTGTAAAGCTGATTTTATTAAATCTTATATCTCATTGTAGAAGTATTTTCAGCAAAAGGCATTATTGCAAAATACAGTGATATGTGACACATAAAATCCTAAATTTTCTCAATGGATATAGACATTAGAATTTTGAATAGACATTAGAACTATTATTAATTCATGTTGATGAGATTATGAAATATGTTGAAAGAGTTATGTACATGACAGTTAACAGATATTAAAATTTTTTCAACATATATTGACAAAAGAAAGTGCACTATAGTAAAATTTGTCACATCCACCTTTAATGCAAACACCTGGTACTGCAGCTAAGGAGTACAAAGAGACATGACAAAGTTTCCATTTATGTTCAGAATTAGGATTTTGTAATTCAATAGTTGTATGTCAGAATTTTAGCCATAAATGACATTTCTAGATTGTATTGCTTTCATTATAGATAAATTGTATTATTTTTGTCATTTTTTTTTTGTTTCTGTGTAATGCTACAATAGTGAGTGTGCAAATTCTTAACATCATTTTATGACTTGGTTCATCAAAAGCTAGTATTCTTGTAATTTAATTACATAAGCCTGAAAGCTTTGAGAAGTGTAGAAAATAAATGTTTTATTGATCTTCAAACAAAAGACTTGTTTTTCTTCTTTTAGTTGTTAATGAAATAGAGACCTAGGAAGTATTTCTTAACCCATTGAATGGATGTGAATTTACACTATCCTTAATAGATAAACTGAGAGATGTTTCATTTAAACATGGCACCCAAAGAAGACAGTTTTCTAAAAATATATGCCAGGGTACTTTAACACAGTTCATATCCAAATGATAAGAAAATTCTAAATAGCATCTATGAGTGAGTAGCCCCACTTTAAAAGTGCCTTCCCAGAGTCTTATGTACAGAATGTTTTAATGGAGGAGGAATTCATGAGAACCCATTGTATTTTCCAGCAGATATCTTTTGATTTGAGTGTCTTGCTGTTAGCAGAGAATGCACACATTGAATAAAAGTAAAATATTTAATTTTGATTAAAAATGCAACTCAATATTGCAGTACAAGTAATCTGACCGTCTCTTAGAGATATCAAACACAATAATAAATGACATTGCTTAATAAATATAACTTACTTCCATTGTCTTTGTCAAGTCCACAGAAAATATTTTTAAATTAAAGATTTTTGGTGATGAGATCTGTTAATTTCTTAAAAGGGTGGGGGTCTAGGGTATGTAAGTCAGATAAGGAATTACCGCTCTGGTGGCCTAGTGGTTGGAGCGTCTGCCTCAGATATGGGAGGTCGTGGGTTCAATTCCTTGCAGAGTCACATCAAAGACTTACAAAACTGGTACTAACAGCTCCCACGCTTGGCACTCAGCATTAAGAGGTTGGTGTTAAGACTATTCAGCTTGGTGTCAGGATAATGTGACTGGGTGGAACATCATGTTACATGTCTGCAGCATGATGCCCCAGTGCTAGACACTTCAGATATTGTATTGATATGACTGAAAAATTGTTAAAGCTACATTAAAAATCTAAATCTTGTACACACACACAGATGAGGAATTGATGAGTCCAAATTTCTATTTAATAATGTCACCATAAAAATAATCAATGTAGCAAACAAAATGACTCAATTACAAACGAGTAATTTTTCAACTTGAATGCTTAAAGTTGGTAGTGCTTAACATGATTATTGAAACAAGTAAATATGGCATAATACATAATCGCTTCTCCGGTACACTAGTTACTGGATAGTGTAGTCATATCCGGTTTGTTACATACACATATATATGGTATTTTGGGGCTGTTTAATTTTGAAGTAAAAGATTTATTTTTATATTGGGCTGCTTTTTTAGCTTCATGTAAGAATGGTTGACTAATAGGGAAATGGTGTGCATGGTACACATAATGTAATGAGAACTCTGTCCAACAATAGTGGATTCTTTCTCAGCTTCAGGCAAGAGAAATTTGAATGGTGTACCTGGCACACATAAGGTAATGAGAACTGTCCAACAATACTGGATTCTTTCTCAGCTTCAGGCAAGAGAAATTTGAATGGTGTACCTGGCACACATAATGTAATGAGAACTCTGTCCAACAATAGTGGATTCTTTCTCAGCTTCAGGCAAGAGAAATTTGAATGGTGTACCTGGCACACATAAGGTAATGAGAACTGTGTCCAACAATAGTGGATTCTTTCTCAGCTTCAGGCAAGAGAAATTTGAATGGTGTACCTGGCACACATAAGGTAATGAGAACTGTCCAACAATACTGGATTCTTTCTCAGCTTCAGGCAAGAGAAATTTGAATGGTGTACCTGGCACACATAATGTAATGAGAACTCTGTCCAACAATAGTGGATTTTTTCTCAGCTTCAGGCAAGAGAAATTTGAATGGTGTACCTGGCACACATAAGGTAATGAGAACTGTGTCCAACAATAGTGGATTCTTTCTCAGCTTCAGGCAAGAGAAATTTAAATGGTGTACCTGGCACACATAAGGTAATAAGAACTCTGTCCAACAATACTGGATTCTTTCTCAGCTTCAGGCAAGAGAAATTTGAATGGTGTACCTGGCACTCATAAATGTAACGAGAACTCTGTCCAACAATACTGGATTCTTTCTCAGCTTTAGGCAAAAGAAATTTGAATGGTGTACCTGGCACACATAAAGTAATGAAAACTCTGTCCAACAATACTGGACACATAATGTAATGAGAACTCTGTCCAACAATACTGGATTCTTTCTCAGCTTCAGTCAAGAAAAAGACTGCAATAGGAGAACTATGTACCCAGCATGCACTTAGTAAAGGAAGTGGTTTAGATGGGAAATATTTAGAATTTGTATTGTTGATATGCACTTTCAGCTTCCTGTGCATGTACAGTTAAAAGGGGATGGTGTTCAGCAAAATTGCACAGAACAGCAGAAGAAAAAATTAAAACATTAATGTCATCAAATAATCTTATCTGCACCTTGATCATCCATATATCTGACACTTTATACATTTAACTAGATATGTTTGGCAACTAAAAACCACTTTGTGTAAATTTTCATTTTGAATGTTAAAAGATTAAGGTAGGAATAATATCAGAGTAAAATAGGGTTTCCAAACATAGTGTGGTTAAATATATCCAGTTACCATACATAAGTTGCTCTTGGCAAAGTATGTCAGAAAGATACATAAAAGTAACCCACAATGATTAATTTGTTGTGGTTTAGTGAGCACATAACACTATTTTATGTAGACATGAAATTTGATAAAACTGTTTGCTTTTTAAATTACCATAGGCAAGCAGTACATGTAGATAGATGTGATCTATACTGTGGTGCAAATCATTAAGTCCTATGTTATCAATTGCAATGCTAATAGGACTGCAGTCAATTCCAAAAAGGGTGATTCCCAAATATTGCTAAAATATTAAATGTCATTCTCATATATTTAAATTACATGTGGTGCCATTTTTCTCATAATTCTTACCTTGTACATTATGTTTGGACAACACAATCCCCAAAAGAAAGGTGTTGTTTCCAAAAGGAAATGACTTAATAAATATAAGACAGCAAATCTGAAGGCTATTCAATAAATAATCAGCATTGCACTACATTGTATGATGTCTATATTCACTATATTGTATGATGTCTATATTCACTATATTGTATGATGTCTATATTCACCTGTGACAAAAGTACAATCATTGTATATTGTATAAAAAATATATTTTGCAATAAGTATAGTAACATTAATAATAATAATAATAATAATAATAATAATAATAATAATAATAATAATAATACTTAGTTTTATTATTATTATTCATATGCACAAATATTTTTTAGTTTTCAGGAATGTAATTTAATTTCATTGAATTCTGCAAGAGCATTAAAAAAATTAAAACAGTTGTATCATAAAATCTGAATAAAAGTTTCAAGACTGAAATGCATTTATGGAGTATGCAAGTGGTTTAGGAATGGTATAGTAATCAATATTGTAATGTCTATTTAAACTTGTCCTGGTTGCAAATAAATCAACAATAAATAATAATTTCAAATTTGTAATGTCTATTTAAACTCATCCTGGTTGCAAATAAATCAACAATAAATAATAATTAGAATAAAATTAATAATTGTGTGTGAGCATGCACGTGTGTGATTTGTGTGATTTGGATTTTTATCATAGCTTTAACAATTTTGCAGTCTTAGCGCTATGATGTCTGCTGTGTGGCAGTTTATACTGACTGGCTTACATAATCAACATGATGGTTATAACCTTCCAAGAGAAAATTAAACCCATACTCACAATTTATTTAGTAGATTTAAGCCATCGATGAGAAATGAGGAAATCCTGTCATAATGGATTTTTCTTTTGTTGGCCTAATGACACTTTTCAGCACATGATGGCCAATATAACTGGTGGATGAAGAGCGTAGAAAATTTCAGAACCACCAACCTGGCATGATTTTTTAAATAACAACTTTGATGCAGATTTTTGCATGTAACTTTTGCTGAAGTTAATCTTAATGTAATGCCATTAACAGGGTTGTTACTTATGAGACAGAGTGGTGCCTTAAAGGCTTGTTTTTATCAGTAGCTAATCCCACTAAAATGAAATTTACCTGTATGTGCAACCATTAAAACCTTTAGCTCCTTAAAATTTGATTTGGACAAAATCATGAAATTTTATGTCTGCAAATATAACAGACTATATAATATATAGACATATGTCAGTTGCCTGTTTGTCAGAGTCAGTTTTAACATTCTGACAAGCTGTTTGTGACCACAATTATGTGATACTTTTGACTTTGCCAAGAGATAATTTTGGTCAGCAGCCCAATGTTTGCTGACTAAAACAAGATTTTTACTGATAAGAGTTTTAACAACATGTGGCAATAAGTTTATAGAATCAAGGCATGTATCCACAAAGTTAAAGATTGAAAACGTGCTTTTTACTTACATTTATATACAGCTGATGCATGTACATTACTCAAAACGTCAAGTCTGAACAGGACATAAATTGACTGCAAGATGAATAGAAGGATAGAACTTAAATCCCATGCTAAATACAAAGGCAAAGGGGGGGGGGCAGGAACAAAGTAGTAAGCCTGATTTATTAGAAATTGTTTCATCTTTTTTATTTCTATAGCATTATCACAATAGCATGGGTAAGTGGGTTCAGATCATATACATCTTGAGCTTTGGGTGACATGAACAAAGAAATACACAATGAAATTACCATGGTTACAAGGAAATTGCTCTGCTTTGTGGGTACACATTACAACAGATGAAACAAAACAGGTGAAACACATTATAACACTGCAGACTAAAACAAAATCGACACAACAGGACACCATCAACAAAACACCCCACTTACTTACTTGATCTACCCCATGTACAACATACATCTATGAAAAGCTCTGACCATGGCCTGCTGTCACTGATTAGATTTTATGATATTCATCTGAGATCATAAATACTTTATATACTCATATACAAGTTGGATCAAAACTACACAGACCCCGATATGCCATTGCAAATTGCACCAGCATATGTGTCTATGCTGTTAATTGCTGTATCCTACATATCAACAAGTATATATTGAAAAAACGAAATGTTTTAAAATGATTTAAAACAGCGAGATGAAAGAAATTGCTGGGAGAAAAATATTTAATGGAAATTAAATAAAAGGAAGTTTTCAAGGTCAAATGGTATCGAACATAATTTTGACATGGTAAACTATTAACTGTATCCAAAACAAAAGTTATTTCCTTTGGAAACTACATACTACCCAAACATTTTTTCAAACTTTTTAAATAGTTAAATTTGTAAATAGTTAAAACCTATTATAGATCAGTACTCTTCTCAAAAAGTCTTTTCTTTCTCTCAATAGTAAATATTCAGACATATTCATGGGTGGATGTTTATAGAACCCAGGTACTGTGAATAATACATTATATGTTCCCTCAGATTTAAAAGAATTATATACTGGTACTAGCTAGCAGAGCATAGTTGACTGAGAAGTCAACTAACCTAATGACCTTGATATTTGGTCAGGGTATACAGCCTTACATTAAACTTCTTGTTTTGAAACATTTTTCTTATAAGACTCACCATGACCTTGACCTTTTGATCCCATTAAGATTTCCTTCTTACACTATATGAAAGCCATCTACGAAATGCAGTCATGTAACTAACTCTAAAACAAAAGTTAGTGCAAAAGCAATGTTTCTTTGAGTCAAAATAACCCTAACCTTAGATCTTTTGACTCCAATAGAAATAGGTTTCCTGCCCTCTATAACCTACAAACCTTGATCAAGATGAATGGTCCAG